CCAATATCTTTCAGAAGTTATAAAAGACCATCAATCAAATATCTTTCATAACATATCATACAGAAGCGGACCCTCTTTTCTTCACAGACTGGGGTGAACGAGTGCCCACGTTGGCCCGGGCGTTGGGCCCAGGGCAACGGTGTGACAGTACACGAGAAACGATTGAAACTTTCGTTGAGAGCACATTCTCACCAACAAAAACCGTGGAGCACATTCTCCAACCGGGACTTGGGCGGGCGGGACGAGAAAATCTACAAAACTTTGGGGGTCCCACCCACCATCCCCTATGTTTTCGGTGGGGGGGGGGCTGATAAATGGCTAAGCCATTTATTGGCATACCCCCCATGATGTTTTGATGGATCTCTTAGAATGCTGCTTCTCCTCCAACCCCCCCCCTAAATGGAAAAGCTCGGAAAAGCTCGCATAAAGTCACAGACACACACACACACACACATGCTCTATCCCTCTCTCACTCTCTATCTCTCTCTTTCTCTCTCTCCCCACCATCTTGCACTGCAGATCCCTGCACAGCCTTGCACAGCACTCGGACACCCTCGCTTTTTTTTCCCACATGCGGCTTCCGTTTTTTGGAGTGCCGCGACGTTCGCGGAGGCCACCTGGGCAAGCGGAGAAATGCGAAGAAATGCGAAGAATGACGAAGACATCGACAGAAGAATTGAGTGATATTGAGTGCCGGGCGTGCTCTCGCGAGAAAGTGGCTCAGGGCGCCACCAGCCTCAGACTAAACCCAACAGTTCAACTCTTGACGTGGCGGCGGTTTCCGGCCGAGGCATGGGCACTGGCAGGCTGTTGGCCACCAGCTTGACCAGCATCTCCTTCAAGCGTTTTTTCGCTCCTTGGAGGTCCCCTGTGGGGATGATCTGCATAAGCTGGCCAACCACGAATTTGCCGTATCCTTTCGTCGGGCCGCTGTACACATTGTCCAGATATTCTGGGGCACGACGGCAGATGTGATCCCAGGGGTGATCCGTGCCTTGCACCTTGACCATGCTCTGCTCATCAATGATCGGCACGCCCCTGTCGCCCCACTGCTTAGGCAGCGTTCTCAAGAAAGCCGTGATCTTCTGCGAGCCTGCAATCGAGTTTGTGAAGTCCGAGGCGCTGTACGTCTGCTGCTCGCTCTGGAACTCCGCGACGCCATCCTGTTCACCGGCGTCGTCGACTGCAGTGCTCGGCGCTGCCGCTAGGAGCTCGGGCTTCTCCTGAAGGGCCTGCATCTGCTGGTGTGCAGCTTCGGTGATGCTGACACGGATCTTCATCTCGGACATCTCACATGTGGCAGATGGCAGGTGCCCTATGATGCGGGTCGCTGGGCACACAAGCTCGCAGGGGCTCAAAGCACAGGCGAAGTACTTGAGGTGGCCGGTCTCTGTCAAGTGGAGCACCCTGCACTTGCTGACGCTCTGCACGGGCAAGGCATACACAGCTGGCTTAGACACCTTCAGCTTTCGAGCTGCTTTGTCATTGCCTTTCAGCAGGGCTCCCCGGAACACCGTCAGCACGAGAGCCAAGTTGACCCGTGTCTCGGATTTCTCGGTGGTCACGTAGACCACCACCTGCGGCTTCTCTCCCCGCTTCCTCGGACACAGGTGCTGCAACCTCAAGTGGCACAAAAAAAGTCGCAACACTCGCACTTTACTCTACCAACCACCCTCCCCCCCCCCCTCCCTCCCCCCGGATACAAAACAAAGGAAAAGGAAGCTAAGGTAAAGAAAACATGTAGCTTGACGATGCTGTCTCCCTCGGCAATGCCTGGCCCATGGGTCTCTTGCAGTGCCTTGGCAGCCACCTGCTGCCATGCAACAGATCTGGCCTGCCGACTCCCGCACTCCAGTGATGCTTCGCGGGCGACCGCCAACTCGTGCTGCAGGCTGTGCCACGGAGACAACTCCTTGGTCTGCCCGTGGATCTGGGCTTTGCCGAGCAGGCCTTCCCGCAGCCTGATCGATTCAATGAAGGCCCTCATCCGTGGCAGCATGCAGTGGATGCGGTCAAGGGCTGCCTGGTAGGAGCTGGCATCGGTCATCTCCATCTCCTCCGAATCCGACCACTGCTGCAGCATTTTTCGCCAGCTGTTGCAGTCCGTCTCGCCGTTGAGCTCCTCGGGTGCTGCCTCTTTTGCATCTGCCGGCTTCGTTGCAGGCTCTTCACTGGCCAATGCTAGCAGACATTCCTTCATGGCCTTGTGGTCCTCCACGGCATGCAAGGCTGCAACAACCTCTGCCTGGGACTCATCCATGGTCTTCTCCTCCGGAGGGAGGCTCTCGTGCATCCCAAGATCCATGGCCAACTCCTCGTCATCGGACTCCTCTGCAGGCTCCTCCTCGGCCTCATCGTCTTGCGACCCCGCAGCGCCGACGATGAGCTTTTTGCCCTCGGTTCGATACCACAGGTCGAAGTTGGATGCAATGACGGCCCTCGTTGTTCCCACGCTGATCCAAGACTGAAACAAGCAGGTCTGTGCGAAGGCCTCTGCATGCAGGCGTTGCGCATGCTCCAAACTCACCACGTCATGATTTACCTTGGGCGGGGCGATGTCCTCCCTGAGTTGGCTCAAGTGTGTCTTGTGCACTCCCAGAATGCCATCCCTGCACGAGGGGCTGCCTCTGTAGTCCTTCTTGGCCCTCGAGAAAAAAAGCTCCGATGCCCGCTCCTGGAACCTGGAAGCCCGCAGCGAGCAAGTCTCGGGAAGCCGCATGCAGACTTGCATTGCGTGGACACAAACCCTGATGCCGATGCGGATGGTTGTCAAGGGAAGGAACCTTTCCTTCCAAGAGCTTCCGTGCCGAAGCCGTGCCGCCTGGAGATTCAAGAGCAGCATGTAGTAGCAGCTGGAGGCTGTGAAGAATCTCGAGCTCGCCGGCAGCCCATCAGATCCCTGGCCCAGGCTGGACAAAAGGGATGCCACGAGTGCATAGACATGACATCCTGCACAATCCCATGTCGAGCGAAGGAACCTTGCATTCAGACGCATGGCCGCATCTTTGTCACACATGCTGTCGCTTCCTACGAAAGCCTTCCATGGGAGTCCACGACACAGCATGCAGCTTAAATCCACTGTGAAGGAGCCCCAAGCCACAGTTCGAGTCCCCGAACAATGGTGAAGCGAAAAACGCTTCAAGAAATGTAACGAATCTTGGGATCCGAAGATGGGGTTGCCTTTGTACGCCAAGATCTGGAAAGGCATGTGCTTGAGCTGCATGGATTCGTAATTGCAGCTGCACCAAAATGTTGATGCAGCCAAAGCCTGCTTGCTGAGGAGGCCCAGGGTGAGTTTGGAGAGGTCTGCATTCGTAGACCCTCCATCGTACGCTATACCGATGGGTATGCTGTCGGCATTTCGTCGGGCAAAGGCCTCGAACAGCCGTCCACATATTTCCAGCTGGTTCCTGCTCTTCTCGCCGTCCTTTGCCTTCACCGGCACCATGCAAGCGTCGTAGCTCTGCTGTAATGTGTCTGCCCGGCTGACCGTGTAGTGGACTGACATCCTAGCTTTCCGGGAGTCTTGCAAACCCTTGGCACTGGAGAGCTTGGCAAAGCAGTCCTCAGGATCTGAGGTCCAGTATCCCCCGATCACCGTCCGAGTGTCGGCTCCACACAACCCAGAGATCACCTGCCAGCTCGGATGCCAATAGGTCTCATCGACCGACAGGAAGTAGGACCTGGTCTGGTGCACCCGCAACCTCTCCACGATAGCATCTGCATTGTGGTCGAGGGTTTTCTTGGATTCCATGGAGAGGAAGGGCCACGGCAGCATGGGGTGCTGGAAGTCTAGCTTGGCTTTTCGGCCCAAGGATACGCCGAAGTTGGCTAGTAGTTCCTTAGATTGGGCCGACACCCCCAACATGAAGTAGATCTCGTCGAAGGTCTCCTTGTCGAGATGTTTGCTGCTGCCGGTGCGGGCCGTGTGGCCTTTCTCCATCCGAGCCTGCATCTCGAAGAACGAATGCACCAAGCATCCCAGGATCCGATTGGAGGCTAGACCTCCTGCGGCTATTTTCGCGGCCACCTGCAGGTCTTGCTTCTGCACACTGCCATCCAAGATGTTGCCCTGGAACTGGCTGCAGAGCTGCTTCATGGCCTGCATCTCTGCCTCGGGTGCATCGGTGTACTGCAAGTCCTGGATGTTCACCTCCAACCATTCACACAGGGCCTTTGTTCGGAGGCCATAATTGATGCAGCACATCCTCCTCTTGATCGCCGTCAGAAGGGACAGGAGGTCCTCGATCCCCACATACCGGTCAACCTCGGCGCGGATGTCATTCCAGGTGTAGTAGTCGGAGCTCAGCATCTTCTCCTTGACCTTCAACACATCCTCGCGGCCTCCATACACCACCTGCCTGGCTAGGAGGGCCGAGTCGATGATGCAGGCCCATTTGCAGATGGCTCGGTGCAGCATGGCCCGGCTGGCTGTGTTGCGGCACTCCTGACATATGGGGCCGTCACCCTTGCAAGCTCTGGATTTCAGGACCAAGACCTCCTGCTCCCAGCACCAGCTGCACAGCTCCAAAGGGTCCTTGTCGGGATGCTTGGAGTCCACTGTGCGCAGCATCCCAGCCTTCACCCAGGACTCGATGGAGTCTTGAAACCTGTCCAGGGACGGCTCGTCTCCGTGGCCGAGACGAACCCCATGGCACTTCTCAGGCTTGGCATCCGGAGTCTGCATACATCGCAGCATCCTGAGGTGCGTTGCACCTTCATGGCCCTTGACGCACTTCTGACCGGACTGGCTCTGTCTCTGAAAGTTGCACTCGATCTTGCATGCTCGGCAAAACCAGACACTGCCAGTGACGTGCGTGTAGATGCCGGGCCTCTCTCGATCCAACCATGTCTCCAAAGAGGCAACTGCAGACCCGGCCGGTGGCCGGCCACGTCCAGCATACGGCTTCGCAGGCACCAAAGCCTCCTGGGCCTGTACAGGCACGACTTGGTCAGCAGGAGGAGGCTTGTCTTCGCCGGCATGAGGAGCCTCGATCATGTCACGTAGCTGTCGGCACGACTTACAAGACATGCAGCTCTTCTTGCCAAGAGCCTGCAAGAACTTCAGCCAATGCCCCTCCGGAACTGCATCCTTGTTGCGGCTGTGCACCGACTGAAAGTTCCTGTTGAAAGTCACCCCCCCATCGGCAGCCTTTTTCTTGGCCTCGTTGAGGGCTTGCTGTGCTTGCTGCTTGGCGGTGGGCTTGCGCTTCCGTTTCCGAGACTGCCCTGCTGGCTCCAGATCATCCTCGTCGTCCTCTTCCATGACGATGGCCCGCTTCTGGCCCGACTTGGGTGGCAGCTCCTCGTCCGCATCGTCCTCCTCACCCTCCCTGCCACTTGCCCCAGGCTCCTCGTCCTCCATGTCCTCCGTGGCACCTGCTGTAGGCTTCTCCTCCTCCTTGACACCTTCCGTAGGGTCCGTCCAAGCGAAGCAGCCGGCCACGGGCTGCAGTGGCCACGAGCTGCATCGTTCGCTCAGCACCCACCGGGCGGCACTCAGCACACGATGACCGCAGGACCAAGAGTCCTCCTGCCTCGGCACCTTGAGAGGCAGGACAATCATCTCCTGCCCCCAACGTTCACTTGCGTGCTCTGCCACAGCCGCGGCCAAGTCCAAGGTGGCTGGCAACTGAAGACTGTCCATGATCAGGAACTCTTTCTGGCCTCGTCGACCAGCCGCTAGAGACCAATGTGTCTCGGTGCTGAGCACACACAAGACGTGCTTCGCAGATTTTTGGAGACGAAAAGGTTCCAGCAGCTCGGCCGCCGTGCCACACAGCAGAATGCATTCTCTGGGCCAATGAATCCCCCAAACCCCCCTGCACGCCTGCACCAAGCTGTGCAAGCAAGTCCCCCAGTCCATCTGCTGCCCCCAAACGGGCTGGGTCATCGGATAGGGCTTCAGCAGCGCCTCCTCGATGGACATGCATGTCTCCGCATTCATTGGTCTTGCTCGGCAAGGAGACGGAAGAGATCTGGCAGGGATGGGCAACTCTTGCTCGGGTTTGGCTGCAGGGTCGACATCCAGGAGCATACGACTCAATGGCTCCTCACACCTGCGGAACACGGACGGGGCAGTGCGAAGCAGGCAGCAGAGCAACTGCAGCTCCTGAGGCTCGAGGTGCTCTAGGCACGGCCTGCCTGTCTCGTCCGGGAGCGGCTCTGACCAAACAGGCTGTATGTTAAGTGGCTCCAAGAGCCGGTGCCATGCCTCCGTCTGAGCTCGCAGCATCTGGACAGGGTTCGTCGGCACAAACTCAAGCTTCTCAGCACTCGTCAGAGCATCCCAGATGTCAGGCTTGCCCAGGCTGCCCCGAAGTCTACGGTAGTAGATATACCCTGCAGCCTCCGTCGCTGCCACCTCCATATACTCTCGCTGCACTGCAGGACTCAACACTTGGAAGATTTTCTTGGTGAGGTTCTGAGGGAGAGCATCCAAAGGGATGCCCGACCAGGTTGGCCTAACCTTGGACTCGCT